ATCCGAAAGGGGGTGTAGTCTCTCTCATGTTTTGGCAGCCTTACTTAGTGGTTAGACCGTTGACCACGCGTCCTCGACAGGACGGAGCATTGTTCCCACAGGTTCGATCACCGATGGCCAATCGTTCCTTCTACGTTGTCAAAAAGGTCGCTCAAACATGTTTTCCCATCGGTATCACTTTCCGCCTTATTTCAACCCATTTCCTATGCCCCAGTACACCTACCGTCTTCTCCTGGCTATTTACATTCGTCAATTGTCTTTCTTTCTGTACTTTTTCCTTCTACTTTTTCCCCCAGCTAGCTCAGTCATGTACATTTCCCTCTCCTTCTTGTACCACGGGCATTCCACAAGTACATGAAGATGGTCTTCGCCCTCGGAGCCGCAATCACACCTGGGTTTGTCGTCTTCATTGTCTACCTTCCTCAATCTTCGTCTACGTTCTCAAAGGCCAACATCCCCAGTCCTAGGTTTGACCTTCAGCTTTGTCCCTGCATCCATTGGCCCTCCATGTAGGTAATCTTTAAATATATTCCTTCTTTGATATTCCGTACACATCGAGACCCTCCGTGTCCTTGGTTTCTTTGGTTTGATCCTGTCCTTCTCTCTCGCCAAAGCAACAACAGATATCTTCTCCTTGAACCCCTCTTGACCTCCCCTCTCGAGTGTTTCGCCTTTGTCAAGTTGGACCCCCTTCCATGCGTCATCTACAACATTAACTCACTCCGTAGGTTGGTACACCAATTCTTCTTGTTTGTCCACTTCGCCTCCTAAGCCTTTCTCGGCATCCTCTCCTCTCCCATACCGTACATGCGGCACTGCCACCTAGGGGGCGATTTTACGGCTACATTGTACTCTTACAGCAGTAGTGTCTCGTGATGAAATCCACGCAGAAAGACCTGTCTATGTCCTCTGCATACGGCAATCGGTATAGAAATAAGAACAAGAACCTCGTTTACCATAGGTGGATACCTGCTCCAAATAAGAACTTGGAAAATAAGAACATGTGCACGGTTGGAGGCAACCAATAAGCGTCGAGCCTCAAGCTAAATAAGCGGTTCTTAAGTGGTGGCGCGTTCTGTAGACTGCTGCCACCGCTGTGTCGGCCACCTCGTAATTTGTGTTGAGAAGCACGATGACCCTACAGCAGTAGTTAATGACCACCGTGCTTCTTAATAAAAGCCTATGTCCGGAATTCGAATCACCCCTTGAGCATTTCATCCTTCGAGGGTTTTATTTGCGTCCAAAGGTCTACGCGAAAAAGTATTCCGAACACACAAATAGGCCAACCCCCCGCCCCAATCTCCCACATTACTGACAGTTTTGATAAACCGCCCATGTGACACCCATGGGTCACCCATGGACCGCCCGTCGGCATGCCCATCGGCAGCCCATGGGCGGCCCATGAAGCTCGGCAGCCCGTGGGTGGCCCAGAAATGCCCACTTCACGTTAGGGCTAGGTAGGGGTAGCGTTAGGGTTATTCGCCGCATTTTGCGCCCGTTCCAAAGCAGATAATCCATCGTTTAGGAGTACACTTGTTCGGTTGAAGGGCTCTCATTGGCCGCCCATGGGCAAAAAAGTTCCAATGGGAGTTCCAAACGTATACGTTGGCGTCCTCGAGCAGCTTGCGCCGTTGTCCCTCTAGAAGCTTAAGCGCCCTCCTCTCGTTTTGGCCACCGTCCTCCTCCTCGCCGGACCCGCCGGCACCATCCGACGAGTCCACCGCCGCCACCGGCGGGCTCACCTCACCAGGTGACGCCGCACGAGCAGGCCCACCCGCCAGAGCACCGTCCTCGGAAGCGGAACCTTACAGGACCGAGGCATTGGATCGTTCTCTGTAGAAAGTGTGCGAGACCCCCCCCCGGAGGGGGGAGAAATTCGAAAAGTTACCGTGGATCTTGATGGATCGTGGAAAAGTTAGGGTATGAGGTTAGATCAATGGCAAACATGCCTCGCTCTCATTGCCCCTGCATCTGGTCGTCATCGAGGCCGGCCCACGCTGACCCAGCTGCGCTACAGGAACACACGGGAAAAAAGCAGCCTAGCTTGGGTGTAGCACCTCATCTCTAAGAAGGTACATTATTGACCAAAGCCAACCAAAGCTCCAAGTGAGCGAAACAACCTACGTAGCGAACAACCCAATTGTTTTGGAACAGGTCAGTCATTGACCAGGTTTCACAACTGTTGCCATTCAGTGCACCAATCACCTGCCTTGCAACTTGCCCTTGCCGCTTCTACCACTGAAAAACAAGGAACGTAGTCTCGCAAATCTTCTCGACTATATAGCCTTGGTCTCGTGGGGTTACGTTTGACTTGACCAATCTACCCCGCTTACTCATCATGCGGACCCAACCCTACTTCCGAGGTATCGCGCGGTGTCTCGCTACGTTTGTTTGTTTTCTGCGAGCCGGTCGCCAAGTATGTGCTTGAACGTGCGACATCGCCATCCATTGCGCTTCGACCAATCGGCCACCGTGTCGCGAATGGCCGGCTAGCGGCAGCTCCAACATAGATGCTCATGGGGGTATGCATGATAAGATTGCAAAGACGGCCCTGTGGTGTGCGGGGTGTCTGCCATCTCTCGGCGGTCTCCACAGCTTCACAGCGCCAGCGGTGATGCACACAGCGAGAGCCGGCCGACAAAACGCCGACGCCTCAGCGTAAAACCCGGGGAACCATGGATGTGCCCCCCCCCCCCCCCCCCGGACCCCGGTACCCGTTTTTTTTTTTCCCCCTTTTTTTTTTTTGGGGGAAACCAAAAGGGGGGCCAATAAAAAAAGTTTTGGGGGGGCCAAAAACCCCCCCCCCCCCCAACGGGGAAAAAACCCCCCCCTTTTGTTTAAAAGGGCAAACCTCCCAAAAG